GTAGTAGTAGTAGTAGTAGTAGTAGTAGTAGTCGTAGTAGCAGCAGCAGTGGTAGTAGAAGTAGTAGTAGTAGAAGTAGTAGTAGTAGTAGTAGTAGTAGTAGGAGTAGTAGTAGTGGTAGTGGTAGTAGTAGTCGTAGTCGTAGTCGTAGTCGTAGTAGTAGTAGTAGTAGTAGTAGTAGTAGCAGTAGTTGTAGTAGTAGTAGTAGTAATAGTAGTAGTAGCTGTAGTAGTAGTAGTAGTCGTAGTCGTCGTAGTCACGTAGTAGTCGTCGTAGTAGTAGTAGTAGTAGTAGTAGTAGTAGGAGTAGTAGCAGTAGTAGTAGTAGTAGTAGTAGTAGTAGTAGTAGTAAGTATTAGTAGTAAAGTAGTAGTCGTCGTAGTAGTAGGAAACCGTCATGTAGTAGTAGTAGCGGTAGTAGTCGTTGTGGTGGTCGTGGTGGTAGTCGTTATAATAGTAATAGTATTAGTAATAGTAATAGTAATAGTAGTCTAGTAATAGTAATAGTAATAGTAATAGTAATAGTAATAGTAATAGTAATAGTAATAGTAATAGTAATAGTAATAGAAGTAATAGTAACTAGTAATATTAAATAGTAATAGTAATAGTAATAGTAATAACAGTAACAGTAACAGAATAGTAATAGTAATAGTAATAGTTAATATTAATAAGTAAGTAACAGTAATAGTAGTATAGTAGTATAGTAAGTCGTAAGTATAGTAGTAATAGTAATACAGTATAGTAGTAGTAGTAACAGTTAGTAGTAGTAGTAGTAGTAGTAGTAGTAGTAGTAGTAGTAGTAGTAGTAGTAGTAGTAGTAGTAGTAGTAGTAGTAGTAGTAGTAGTAGTAGTAGTAGTAGTAGTAGTAGTAGTAGTAGTAGTAGTCGTAGTAGTAGTAGTAGTAGTAGTCGTAGTCGTAGTAGTCGTAGTCGTAGTAGTAGTCGTAGTCGTAGTCGTAGTCGTATTAGTAGTCGTAGTCGTAGTAGTAGTCGTAGTCTTAGTCGTAGTCGTAGTCGTAGTCGTAGTAGTAGTAGTAGTAGTAGTAGTAGTAGTAGTAGTAGTAGTAGTAGTAGTAGTAGTAGTAGTAGTAGTAGTAGTAATATAGTATAGTATAGTATAGTATAGTATAGTATAGTATAGTATAGTATAGTATAGTAGTAGTAGTAGTAGTAGTAGGAGGAGGAGGAGGAGGAGGAGGAGGAGGAGGAGGAGGAGGACGATGAGGAGGAGGAGGAGGAGGAGGAGGAACATGCGGAGGAGGAGGCGGAGGAGACGGCGGAGGATGAGGAGGAGGAGGAGGCGCGTTGGAGGAGGAGGATGCTGAGGAAGAGGAGGAGGATGAAGGATCAAGGATGAATGGATGACGCCCAGGACGGATCGGGAGCAGGGGGAGTACGCGGAGCAGGAGGAGGTGGATGAGGATGTGGAGCAGGACGTTGGGGAGGGCGCGGGGACGTAGGGATAGCAGATGAAGGAGGGGAGAAGGGGTGCGAGGAGGATGGGGGCGGCAAGGATTGAGGAAGAGGTTCAGGGTGCGGATCATAGTGACGCTGAGGACGATGAAGCTAATAATGCTAGTGCTGATGTCGTTGCTGATGATGTTTATGCTGCTGCTGATGCTGGTGATGATGATGATGATGCTGCCGATGCTATTGATGATGCTGTTGATGAGGATGCTGCTGCTGATAACAGTGATGCTGGTAATGCCAACCATCATGATGAACATGATGATGTGACTGATTGTGGTGATGAGTATGAAGCTTATGATACTGATGATGTAGATGATTATGATGATGATGACGACGTTGATGATGATGCTGCTGTTGTTGTCGATGGTGACGATGCTGATGTTGCGGATGATGATTACGTGCGATAGTGCTGGTGGTCCTGAGAATGATGCTGCTGGCGGTGACGACGATGATGATCATGGCGATGCTGATGCTGATGCTGAAGATGCTGCTGCTGCTGGAGTCCCCTTCCCATCAGTTGGGAAGCCGGCAATTTTCATCAGCGCGGGTAATATCCGCGGAAGAAAAGAATTATCCTGGCGAAGGACCCAACCATATGCAGTTGTGAGTGCCGCAATTGTGAATGCCATCTTCGCCTGCGCTCCCTATGTGGCCACGGCTTCCCGCCGGAGCCCGACATGCTCAGGGACACGGTCGTGGCCGTCTTCGCGGGCGCCGACGACGACAAGGACGGCGTCCTTCTCACCGAGGAGCAGAAGCAGGAGAAGGCCTTGAGAGCCATGAGGGAGGAGGTGGCGTTGCACGCCGACAAGGCGGAGTACGACGCCCATGCGCGGTTGTTGAAGCAGCGCAACTATGTGGCCACGATCCTCGTGAGGGATGTGCCGCAATGGCCCGGGGCCGCCATGCGAGCCCTGCCACTGGCGCCTTCGGTGGAGCTCCAGTGGGGCCACGGTCCTCGTGAGGGGTGTGCCGAAATGGCCCGAGGCCGCCATGCGAACCCTGCCGCTGGGGCCTTCGGTGGAGCTCCCCATGGGGCCACGATCCTCGTGAGGGGTGTGCCGAAATGGCCCGAGGCCGCCATGCGAACCCTGCCACTGGCGCCTTCGGTAGAGCTCCCTATGGGGCCGCAATCCTCGTGAGGGGTGTGCCGAAATGGCCCGAGGCCGCCATGCGAACCCTGCCACCGGCGTCCGCTGTGTTTCGGAAGTTTTCCTTGTAAAGCCAGGGAGGTCACCGCGCTAGTTACGATGGACACGTTGGAGCACCAGACCCGAACTGTCGGTCGTCGTGGTGTGAGGGGTCGGGTCGGTATTCTCCCCTTTGTGGCTGTCTGTCTCGAACTGGCCACCCACCGCGCCCGTTCCAGTGCACGCTTGGCCTTCTTTAGACTTCATCCAAAATGGAACCAGTCTGCGGGACCTGTCTGCTTTACCGTTCGACACTCTTGGTCTCCAGCTTCTGTTTCCTCCTCCTCGTCCATTTGCGTTTGCCAGCGTTATGGATGGTTTTCGCATCTCGGGGCATGTGCACCAACTTTGGCCCGCGCTCAGGCGCTTCCCGCTGAGCTTCGGGATGCCGAGAACAGGAAACACTTAGGCAAGGGACGACTCCATTCGCAGGGATTGGGGTTCCGCAGTCGACGTGTCATGTTTTCGTTCCATCTGAGCGGGGCATCTGGCCGCAAGCGTCAAGAAATTTCGCGGTTCATTTTACATTTTTCAGCTTTGCCTTGTCCGCGGAATTTGCTTGGCATTGCCTGTGAGCGGATGGCTGTGTCCACGCGCTGTTCGCATTGGTGGTTTTGCTTCTTTACTTTCGCAGGTGCTGCGCGACTCGTTTGTTGTTGTTGTTGTTTTGTTGTTGCCCTTTATTTTTGTTCCCGTCCAGGGCGCAGACAAACAAGGTTTTCGTGGCGCTGTCGGCCTCCACTTAATGCCTAGATGCCGCACTTTGCTGGGCGTTGTTTGCTTCCCTTGTCCGCCTTTCCAGCGTAGTCTGCATGGCATTGTGCGGCGTTCTGACCCAGTTTGCCCCGCGGGATGGTGCACTGGTTCTAAGGTGGTTCTCAACAACCTCTGACATGACCCCCAAGAGCATCCAAAGAGGTCCAAGCATGCACCCAAGAGGCCTCAGGCCCACGACCTAGGCACGGGAACCCGTCCATCAGAACAGTAGGACCAATTGTGCCCGTCCAGACCTCCAGCCGAGCGGCCCAGTCTTGCGTTTGCGTATACAGCGTGCTCCTCTCGGTCTCTTTTTCTTTTGTGGAGGCTTGTGTACTTTCAGTTTTCTTATGTTCCATCTCTCTCTGTCTCCCCTCCTTCCTTCCCTCCCTCCGTCCCTCCCCGCCTTTCTACCTTCATGCTTAGGCATTGGCCTCCTTCTTGCGTTGTCTGGGTATGTGTAATATGCCTCATGTTGTTGCACCTGAACCGCCTCCACGGTGAACAATACGGGATCCTTGTGCATCGCGATACGCGACTGCATCTGAGCGCAGTGCGTGACCAAAGGTACGGGACGGGGCGAAGAGACGCGGATCAGTGGAGTGGCCCGCGAGGGCATCGAGGTAGGCGGTAGGCACAGTGGCCACATGACGTTCCTTCCTACCCTCTTCCATTCCATTCTTCCCGCTCGCCCTTGTTGCCTCTTCCTCCCGCCAAGGAGTCGCACGCCAAGGAGTCGCAACCGAGGCGAGCGCAATTTTGCAAGTCCAGTAGGTTTTCCATGCGGTCTCTAACTCGCAACCGAGGCTTCCGCCATACCACACGCAACATGTACGTCCAGCGGCGCAGGGGCATCGTCGGAATCACATGGGCCTGCGTAGCGCACCCTTTCCTCTTGCCCCGTCCAAGGTCGGCCGTTCAAGTCACATTGCTTGACAGGTTCGTGCAGTTCCATACGTCTAGTCAATCGGAGCTCAACCCTCCAGTTTGGATAAGTGGGCAACTGCCTGAGGACTTGATGCATATTCGTATTCAGTAGTGCTGGCCCTGCAATACAATTTCGGTGGGCTCAGCCTGGCAGCTCTAGCTGATGGAGAACGCGCCAGCCCTGGCGATTGCCACCGTACACGTGCGCGATTGCTTGCATACAAGGTCGGGTATATGAACGGAGTCGCGAACGTCACACCAGTCTAATGAGTGTGTGTTCATTCTTGGAGTTGTTCCCAGGATGTCCTCTGCAATGCAGAGTTAAGCGTGTGCTGCCCCAGTGCGTTCGTTCAGGTGTATCGTCTGCGCCAACCGTCTCCCAGGAACGCTACCCTCCTTCCCGTCTGGTCCTTCACGTTTGCCTTTCTCCTCCCATCCATCTTCTGGCGGCTACCCTTGTCTTCTCTCCTGCCACCTTCTGCCCCTTCCTCTTCCTCCGCTTCTGGCCCTCCCCCCTTCCTCAACTTCATCATCTTCCTTCCCTTGCTCCAACTCCCTTCTTCCCTCACCTCCTCCCCCGCCTTCTCCTCGTCGTCCTCCTCCTCTTCCTCCTCCTCTTCCTCCTCCTCCTTTCTGCCTCCCACCTTAACCCTCCGCAGGCCCCGCTGCAGCAGGACATGGAGGAGTGATGGCGCACGGGTGGGTGTGGGTGGATGGGGGGGGAAAGAGGAGGAGGAGGACGAGGAGGCGGAGGAGGAGGCGGCGGAGGATGAGGACGGGGGGCGAGACAGGACGAGGATGAGGGAGGAAGGAGGTATTGCGAGGAGACGGACGACGACGACGACGATGACGACGACGCCGACGACGACGCCGCAGACGATGATGATGCTGATGCTGATGATGATGCTGTTGGTGATGGTACAGCTGGAACTGCTGATGATTATGATTCTTATACTGATCATGATAAGTCTACTGATGTTGATACTGCTGATGCTTATACTGAGGATGATGCTGATGCTGATGGTGCTGATGATGCTGATGATGGTGTTGAGGATGAGGAGGTAGAGGATATGTTGTAGAATGAAGGAGCGTTGGTCCGTTGGCCGATGCTGGTGATTATGACGACGGCGATGCTTCTGAGTATGTTGATGACGATTGGAACTATGGTCGAGACGATGAACTTGCTGATGCTTATGATGTTGAGCGGTGCTTGCGGTGACGATATCGCTGACGATGACGAGTTGATGATGATGCTGCTGATGCTGGTGCCGCTGATGATGCTGATGCTGATGCTGCTGCTGATCATGATGCTGACGACAATGGTAGTGATGACGATGCTGCAAATGACGATGATGCTGTTGATGTTGATGATGCTGATGATGATGCTGATGCTGCTGATGATCATGCTGATGTTGATGCTGATGCGGATGATGATGATGAGGATGATAATGATGATGAGGATGCTGATGATAGTGATGATGCTGCTGACGATTATGATGATGCTGATGATGCTGATCCGGTGGATGATGATGCTGATGCTGATGATGATGCAGATGCTGACGATGATGCTGATGCTCCAGATGATGATGGTGATGATGATGATGCTGATGCTGGCGATGCTGACGGCGATTGCGAGGATGGGGGGGGTGGATGAGGAGGAGGAGGAGGAGGAGGATGAGAAGCGATGTACATGGTGGTGGTGGTGATGATGATGATGATGCTGATGATGACGATGATGATGACGATGACGATGCTAATGGTGATGATGTTGATGAGGAATACGATGATCATGCTGCTGATGATGCTGCTGATGATGATGCTGACGACGATGATGACGACTAATTCTGCTGATGATGATGAATATGATGATGCTGCTGATGATGCTGATGATGCTGATGCTGATGCTGCTGCTGATGATGGTGATGATACTGACACTGATACTCGTACTGGTACTGACACTGATACTGGTGCTGGTACTGGTACTGGTACGGCTGCTTATACTGATGATGACGGTGATGATGGTCATGATGATGATGATGCTGCTGATGATGATGATGATGATGGTGATGGTGATGGTGATGATGATGATGATGATGATGATGATGATGATGATGATGATGATGATGGTTGTACTGATGCTGATGGTGGTGATGATGATGATGCTGCTGATACTGCTGATGATGATGCGAATGATGATGACGATGGCGATGAGTACGTTTAGGATGAGGCCCATGACCATTTAGTGCTCATGGGAGGGGGATGGTGGTGATGATGATGAGCAGGAAGGTGAGGATGATGAAACGGATGAGCAGGAGGAGGATGAGGAGGAGGAGGAGAAGGAGGATGATGAGGAGGAGGAGCAGGAAGGGGAAAGGGAAGGGGCAGGAGGAGGACTACGAGGAAGAGGGAGGAAGAGGATGAGGAGGAGGAGGATGCTTGATGATGCTGATGCTGATGCTGGCGATGATGATGATGCTGATCATGATGAGGATGATGAAGATGCTGCTGCTGCTGCTGCTGATGATGATGATGATGATGATGATGATGGTGGTGGTGGTGGTGGTGGTGGTGGTGGTGTTGCTGATGATGATGATGCTGGGTGTGATTTTGATCGTGCCAGGGTACATCGGGTGGAGGAGGGGGAGGACGATGAGGATGAAAAGGGGGAGGAGAGTGATGAGGATAGGGTTCTGCAAGGGAACAGGAAGGGGCCATTGTAAAGCCAAGGTTCATCAGCGATGCTGCACTACACATTCACGTCCCACGCCCCCTCCCCACACGTCCTTACAAGCCCCTCTTTGGGCTACAGGGAAGGGCGCCTTTGGAACATCAAATGCCTCATGGGTTTGCCATTCAGGCGAGATTCCCATATTGAGCAAGGGCCGAACCCCATCGGCGCAACTGGTTTGCGCTGCTGGCCACGGGCTTCGAGGACGTCTCAAGGGAGAGCCCCAATTTGAAACGGAATCGCCTTCCATCGGTGTAGCTGATACACCTGTTCAAGTGTATGCGTTGTTCCACAGTTGTGGCAGTCTCAAGCGAACATCCTTTTTCTGACACGGAGCTGCGGCAAGCTTCGATATCGAATGCGCACGGCATTGCCGCGAGAGTCTGATCTAGGAAAACAGCAGCCCTCCATCTTCGAAGCTGTTAACACCTTTGAAGACGAATGTGCGACGCTAAGGCGGGAGCCCCAACTCATTCCTCAATGTTTGAAACTGCTGCTCACTCTTACTGCGAATTTGCCCAGCGCTATGGCAAGGGCCCTTTGTCGAAGAAGAGCGGCGCTCTATTCTTGAAGCTGCTGCGCATTTGGAGCAGAATTCTTTACGCTTCGCGTATCCCCACCAGCCCATCTCACAGCAGCAACTCTCGCGAAGCATGCCGACAGTCGTGTTTTTCAGGCGTGTGTCCGCTTGGCCCCGCATATCTCCCCTGTTCCTCCTTCCTCCCGCCTCCTTGTACATCCTCCTTGTGAGGGGAGCGGGAGAAGGACGAGGCGGAGGAGGAGGGAGAGAAAGCGCTCCTCGTGGTTTGAGTCGTTTGGGGTTTCTCGTCCTGGTGTGAGTCGTTCGGGCCCTTCTTCCTGGTGTGAGTCGTTCGGGCTCTTCGTGGTGTGAGTCGTTCGGGCTCTTCGTCCTGGTGTGAGTCGTTCGGGCTTCTCGTGGTGTGAGTTGTTCGGGCCCCTCATCCTGGTGTGAGTCGTTCGGGCCCCTCCTCCTGGTGTGACTCGTTCGGGCTCCTCGTGGTGTGAGTCGTTCGGGGCCCGCGTCGTGGTGTGAGTCCTTCGGGCTCCTCGTGGTGTGAGTCGTTCGGGCGCCTCGTCCTGGTGTGAGTCGTTCGGGCCCCTCCTTGTGGTGTGAGTCGTTCGGGCTCTTCGTGGTGTGAGTCGTTGGGGCCCCTCGTCCTGGTGTGAGTCGTTCGGGCTCCTCGTGGGGCCTCTTGGGGGCCTCCTGGAGCCTCGTGGGGCCTCTTGGGGGCCTCTTGGGGGCCTCTTGGGGGCCTCTTGGGGGCCTCTTGGGGCCTCGTGGGGCCTCTTGGGGGCCTCTTGGGGGCCTCTTGGGGGCCCCTTGGGGCCTCTTGGGGGCCTCGTGGGGCCTCTTGGAGGCATCTCGGGAGCCTCCTGGGGGCCTCTTGGGGCCATCTTGGGGCCTCTTGCGACCTCCGCAGAAGCGCAAAGGAGAGCTGCCCCCTGAGAAGGACAAACTGAGCCCAAAACCATGTAAAACCAATGATTTTGCTATGAGGGAAGGTGAGCGCGGCCCCCTCAGAAGGCCAACATGGGGCCAACACTCTCGTAAAATCAATGATTTCTGCTTCAAAGACGGGTTGAGGGGCCAAACTCCCCCCCCCCCCTCGGGACCAGAATCCTAGTGAGGGTCGTCGTTTTTTGGCCCTCCCAGGAGTCGAAAAAGACCCCCTTGCCACCACTCGGCCCGCCCTCTCCAGGTCCAGGGGGGGGGGGGGTAGGGGGATGGGTAAACCCCTCACCGAAGGGGAAGAAGGGGGGTTGAGGACAGAGCGGGCTTTCTAAACCACTTACGCCCGAAGGGCTGGTGGGATTCTTTACGCTTCGCGTATCCCCACCAGCCCATCTCACAGCAGCAACTCTCGCGAAGCATGCCGACAGTCGTGTTTTTCAGGCGTGTGTCCGCTTGGCCCCGCATATCTCCCCTGTTCCTCCTTCCTCCCGCCTCCTTGTACATCCTCCTTGTGGGGGGAGCGGGAGAAGGACGAGGCGGAGGAGGAGGGAGAGAAAGCGCTCCTCGTGGTTTGAGTCGTTTGGGGTTTCTCGTCCTGGTGTGAGTCGTTCGGGCCCTTCTTCCTGGTGTGAGTCGTTCGGGCTCTTCGTGGTGTGAGTCGTTCGGGCTCTTCGTCCTGGTGTGAGTCGTTCGGGCTTCTCGTGGTGTGAGTTGTTCGGGCCCCTCGTCCTGGTGTGAGTCGTTCGGGCCCCTCCTCCTGGTGTGACTCGTTCGGGCTCCTCGTGGTGTGAGTCGTTCGGGGCCCTCGTCGTGGTGTGAGTCGTTCGGGCTCCTCGTGGTGTGAGTCGTTCGGGCGCCTCGTCCTGGTGTGAGTCGTTCGGGCCCCTCCTTGTGGTGTGAGTCGTTCGGGCTCTTCGTGGTGTGAGTCGTTCGGGCCCCTCGTCCTGGTGTGAGTCGTTCGGGCTCCTCGTGGGGCCTCTTGGGGGCCTCTTGGAGCCTCTTGGGGCCTCTTGGGCGCCTCTTGGGGGCCTCTTGGGGGCCTCTTGGGGGCCTCTTCAGCTTCTTGGGGCATCTTGGGGGCCTCTTGGGGGCCTCTTGGTGGCCTCTTGTGGCCTCTTGGGGGCCTCTTGGGGGCCTCTTGGAGGCCTCTTGGGGGCCCCTTGGGGCCATCTTGGGTCCTCTTGCGACCTCTTCAGAAGCGGAAATGAGCGCTGCCCCTTGAGAAGGATAAAATGATGCCAAAACCTTAGTAACATCATTGATTTTGCTATGAAGGAAGATGAGCGCGCCCCCCTTCAGAAGGCCAAAATGGGGCCAACACCGTAGTAACAATCAATGGTTTTGGCTTCGAAGACGAGTTGAGCCCCCCCCCCCCCCCCCCCCCAGAATCCTCGTGAGGATCGTCGTTTTTTGGCCCTCCCATGAGTCGAACAAAAACACCCTTGCCACCACTCGGCCCGCCCTCTCCAGGTCCAGGGGAGGGGGTAGGGGGAGGGGTAAACCCCTCCCCG